TCGTGCTGTGAGTTTCTTTGTCCCATCCCATCCCTCTTAGCCTCCGCTTCCAACCACGATCTCATTATTTAACTTTATATAATTTCGCATAGTATTTTTTTGATGCACAGTAGCCGACTGGTAGCTTACCGGAACGATGCCCATCCGTTACCGGTAGCTCAACCGGCTTGCACCAGTTGCGTTTTTTCTCCTTTTTCTGTGTATTGCGGCACAGTAGCTGAGGTATTCCCCACCTCTAGCTAACGTGTATGATGATGATGATGAATGTAAAGGCGCCATTGACTGAGCGACTGCGCCATGTCTGACGTAGTCTCTAGCCACTGGTGTGGGCCATCCCGGAGCCCCCATGTACGAACACGGCATGCACCAGTCTGACCAAATCTCGGTCAGTTTCCACATGTCTTTACGCCATGCCATCGATTGGCCACGTCCAGGCTACGCCCAACTTGGTTCGGCGACGGCGTATAACGCACACCGAGAAAGTCGGTTAACCTAGCCAACCGAAGTGGCTACGATTCAGCAAACCCTCGAGGCATCAGGAGGCTTCTTGACAAAAACCTACTGGTGTATATCAATATTGCTCACCTATCGTTCCAGCCAGACGTGAGCAATACTCGTTTGCCACTGAAAATTGAAAGGACGGTTCGTCATGATATGCAAGTTCAAGTTACAAGTGAGAAACTTGGATGTTAATTGCCTCTTTGAAGATGCAAGAATGAGCGCCGGGCGCGCGCGCTTGAACATTTTGGAATCCAGAGATGTGCTCCAAACTGACCGACAGTCTTGAACTGATGTGCGACAAGTGCAGTTGATGGCAGTATAGTCAACATGGGTCCAGATCGTCGAGCACTTCGGCAGGCGTCAGGTGGCGTGATGCGAACGTTTGTGATAGCAAACACTGTTACCACTATAAAGATGGGTCTGTACGCTGTTGCGGGAATCGATCGCCATTATCCTTTCGGTGGGCAGCGATCCCAGAACCACCTCCCGGATGTTGTTCGGGGTCCGAAAGCCCACCCACTTGGGCATTCAAGTCATCGGCGAGAATCTCAATGCCTGCATTTTTCGCCATGCGTAAAAGGGACGATAGCTGACCTGTTTCATGCCCTCCGAAGTGTTATCAATGGGAGCATAAACGGAATCGATGAAAATTCACCTTGTCTTATTGGACACAATAGAACTCGAACCGCACACATGTGGTTGTTAACTAGTATCCAGTCGAGTAGATTGTGGGTGATGCTGACACCAGTATCGCCAAAGACGCGGTGTTTGTAGTCATCTTCGGCAGCTTCAGAACCAGGGAGTCGAAGCTTTGTCACTATGCTGTCATCTTATGTGCTCTTTGTGGCGACGCAGCACACGAAGGTACCAAGAAAATGAGAGTAATTGCTATCTGTTGGCTGATTTGACTCAGTGTGGACGTGAAACCAACGAATGTGTAATGAGAACCTAGGTTTGAGGGGCGAGTTGCATGTCGAGAGCATTAGTTGCAGAGTCAGTGACAGTCTCTTGCTCAGTAAACTGGAAGGGACAAAGTCATAAGAAGCGAGAAAATCAGGAACAGGAATGTGTGTTGCAGCCAGTGCCCTGAACACAGATGATATGCTCCGGTTAGCTTTTCATAGGGGTTTTAATCGAGTGGCCATACCTATACCGTTTGACTCAGTATTCTGGCCCACACGGCAGTGGGGTACCTAAAGTTCTTCGCTAAGGGTTCCACTGTTAACTTTTTGCTCAATAACCTGACCTACAAAGCAGTGGTGTTCAATTCTAACTCGGGAGTGTGATTGCAATTACAGATTTGGATTTGCTTGATGCCTGTCACACACAGCCATTTAAGCTTTAGAAAAATTCCTGTGTTTTATGACCGTATTATGTTACGTCCTGTGGCTGGTCACAGTGACAAACAAATCGGAAACCGGATGCCGCCAACCATGTTACGCAACTGCAACCACCAGCAGCCGCTGGTGGAATTCGACAGATTTGCACCAATTTGATTAGGAGTTGTCTAGCTTGAGGCGGACGGTAGCAAATCATTGATCACTGAACGTTGCTCTCCCAACTTCAGGTATGATGCGTGGCGCTCCTGTTCTGCACTAGCCGAGAGGTGAGCTGATAACCAGTCACTTGTTTTCTCCAATGGTTAGGTTTTGAGAGAGCTGGGCCATCAACTTCGCCCTAACCTCCGAAACGTTTGTCTGATGCCTAACCATTGATCTGTTTTGTATACTTGGCTCTGAAGGCATTCGGATAGTGCCACTAATAACGCAGTGCTTCGTATAGGTCCGCATGCCATCGCACCACACTGAGTCCATTGTTGTCATGATGGACATTACATACAAACATGTTACTTAACCAGCGAATTAAATTTCGTCTTGCACTTATTTATTTATTTAACTTCCTTCATTTGGTGTGTTCATCTAGTTCAGCAACTCAGGCGTCACGCATTTTACAAGAACTGTGACAAGTATTATGTAGGCCAGACTGGAAGAAAATTTGGCACAAGACTGCACCAACATAGTCTGGCCATCCGCCACCATGATGATAAATCCTGAATGCCAGTACACATGGATGCCGAGGACCATCAGTTCGATCTGGAGAATGTTGAAGTACTTGGAAGAGCAAGAAATCGCAGAGCGCATAAGTTCCTCGAGGCCTGGCATTCTGGCCGGAACTCAATCAACAAACACCTGGAGCTGGAGGGTGTCTACGAAGCTCTGGAGGTTAAGCCAGCAATAGGCACCAGATCGACAAAGAGAAGACGTGCGCACTCGACGGACTCACCTGAACCGATGGAAGGCTGACATTCGAAGCAGGTAACAATCAATAGTCATTCGGATCTGGCATTGGTTTGCGAGACTCCGCGAATCAGGACTGAATAGCCGCACTGCAGATGTTGCCTAGTTTGCTAACGAAACATCTGCAAAAGAAATGCCCGGCTCGGAGAACAGGACAATCCTCTCACAAACTGCTAACGCAAGGGCAACGCCTATTCTCGTTGCAAACTGTCCGTCGCCAAACAATAGAACAAGTTAGGCGGTAGTGCTTACTTAGAATAGCCAAGTTGTCATGTTTGTTCGGTATGCTTAGTGTCAAACGCGACTGGCTAAACCGTACTGTTTTGGAGACAACTGACAGCACGGATCAACATCCAAATGTTCGGAAAACAGGCAAGCCATCGCTGTGGTAAGTTACTACGGCAGTTTGAGTGACAAAGCACCGACACTACGCTTATCATATGCCGCCGTTTTTGGTTTCATCCCTGAAGTCAAGTCGCTGCGACTTGGGAACCGTTTTCTAACATACACACTAAGGCTGACGTACCATTGCTTCCCCATTGTTTGGTGAAGGGATATCCGTCCATTAAATTCACCAAAACGAAGCATCGTCATCCGCAAGCTTGGCGAACACTAGGAGCGTCAACCTATTATGAAGTGGTTTAAATTTTTAATTTTAATTTTAAATTTTAAATTTTGCTGACTCTCCTACTCTGTAACAGTGGCACATTCGTCCATCAAAAATGATCCAAAGAGTGTTCGTCATACTAAAGAATGTTTGAAGAAGGAAGGATTATCGAATACGCTCCGTAGATGGTGACGACTGTTGCACGGATGGATACTTTGGCACAAGTATAGTGCCTGTTCATCCTTCACTGCGGTTTGAGGCCACTCTTCCCTATACGCTTCATCGTGTTATCATTCGCTAATTGAACTATCAACCGGGTATTATCGAAGGCCTATAGGTGTGTTAATTCATCGAAATTTGATGTTCAGAGCATTTTTCCATTACTCCACAATTGGACTCCAGAAATCATTCTAAAGGATAGCTTCCAACGTCAGCTACATTGTTAGGGAAGTCCATTGACTGACCCAAATGCCTTTTCTTTTATCTGTAATTTACTAAGGACTACAAAATCGGAGACATTATCACCGATCAAACGTACTACTAAAGTGGCTACTGAGGCAGGTTACTACACTCGTAGCAACAACTTAGTACTGAACCATTTCATATAACCAGCAACATGTTAACCATCCAACTTCGTAGCACAAATGCACTCGGCGCTTGCGTTCATCCTCATCTCTCCGGCACTGCGTTACCCTTGGGCTCAGACGCAGTAGCTGAGGTGTTCCCCACCTCTAGCTAACGTGTATGATAATGATGATGGGCTCAGACACCTACTTATCATACTGTGCTGCTCAGGGTCTTCACCCGGCGACCTCATAAAATATGGATGCCTTGACCGACGCTTTCTGCGTCCACCTCCCTGCCCATTCCCTCTCATTTGTTCTCGACTGAATTTTTCCAACTTATTTTGCTATATGACGGTAGAGTATTTTCACCGTTGTGGTATTTTGCTCTTGATTATGATATTCTCGCGCGCCAGCGCTTACCCGCCCACCGCGCTACATCCGTGCTTTGATACGTAGACCATTAAACCAAACGAATTATACAAAATCACGCCCAGTCTGTATTGTTTCCTATCTCCTGGTGTTGCGACCTTGACCCAGTCCACTGTTACTACTGATCGAGACTTTTGTACCTTTTTGTATACCTCTTCTACTGAGTGATGTAAGCAGCTGTCACCGCACCTATCACCTTACTCCTATCACGTTCCGTGCCGAACTGCCTAGCTTGTTGTTTCAAGACCGACGAATATGCCTGAAACAGCCGTGTTTCTCACGCTATAATCCTGATTTATCTTTGCACCAATTTCACAGGTTTGTTCGAGCATGATCCCTCGAACATATATGAACGAGCTCTTGGGGTTGGTTACTTGGATTCTTGCATTTCATTCTCCGTTTTCATGGTAGTATTGTTTGTGAATCATATTTGTGTCTTAACAGTCTGTTACTTTGGTTCTAACTGGGACTCGGAGTAACAGCTGAACAACCTTTTCTCCGTTTCACTTCGGGCTTACAACTACGCTTGCAGCTTTAGCTGCCAATTTCGGAAAGCTTTGTGCGACAAATTCACCATACAACTGCGTCTTTTACTAACTCATGTTTCCCGTTTCAGCATTTCTGGACGCCTTTCGTTTGGTATCGATGCGACTTGCTATCGGGTGCTGTCGTTCTCACTTTCTTTCCAGTCTCCCGATTCTGTTGATACCACATTGCACCGGACGCTACATGCGTCCAGGGTCTCTCTATCGCCCTCATCATGAGCGATTCGATGAGAACTGCGAGCCGAGGCCACCGCTTCACCCGGAAACTCCCAGATTTAAAGGTATGTTTCATACGATGGCTCACACCTTTGACTTCAAAGTGGCTCGTTTTTTGGCCACAAAGTCAGTTAACGCTGCGAACTGCCATCTGTCCCCTGCTACAGCAGGGCCTACAGTTGCAAAGCAACTTGTTTCTCTCTCGGGAGCGGGTGGTACACCTTGACGGATGCCGCAGTGTAGGAATTAAATACTCAACGTTTAATTGCAAAACCACTATTGTTTAATCCAGGATCGCGGGTTTCGCTTTCACAACGTTATTTGAGGTTTCTTCTGAGGGACCACCTTTTGCATGACCTCAATGATTTTACATTACTTGGAATAATTACTACACTCTCAGTAAAATGTACTCTTACTGCAAAACTACAGTGGGGCTGTTGTTTTTTCGATTCAGTGATCTGATCTGCTACGATTAATTGGCGCTCCTCATGCAGAGGAGTGTCACTGCGTGCGTGCAGTGTGCGCACTAACACATCACCACAATCGGCAACACTGTAGGTCTTTTGAAACCAGAGTAGAGTCAGATGATAAGAATGCGATTTCTTTCTTCATGTCATTGTTCAAGGTGTCCGCTGTGTTCCAGTTACTTGGGTGAATGTGCTGAATACATCTGGTCAACATTTCACTTGTCCACACCAACGTAGATTATTCAATCTCATCTGCCAAGCTGAGCGACTAACCGGCACACACCGCCTAATGCCAATCGGGGATAGTTCTCGCCCAGATACTTTGGCGTCACCCGAGGTGGTCATTGCGCTATAGGCAATGATTACCGAAGACCTCAATTCAGCTAAGAGCTAACCCATGAAGCCAAGTTTCACTGCTATGGTGAAGAACCCGCTTCACTGTACTCCTAACACCTTAAGACCAGGGAATATCGGTTTCTGTGCAGAATCTCAATGCGTTTGTTAGTGGAATTACTTTTTAATGGAGTCTACAATGAAGTAGTTTAGAAATGGAGAGGTAAAGCAATCGACTGCAATGTTTGCGCACATATCATGTGAATATCTTTCGCATCATCACCAACAGAAACAGCAGCAATACATCTTCACCTAAGATGATAACTCGCTGCTATACAGCCGCAATGACCTACGAAAAGTGGCATAATAACTGGGAGATAATAGGACCTCACAGGATAATCTAAGCAAACGTTCAGGGTCAGGGAGCATACCTTGTCATCAACGTACCATCACAAATAGCTCACTATCCTGCGAACTGAAGGTGGCATCGGGGAGACAGCTTCCTTGCGGCTTTCACTGCCCCGTGTCATAATCAATCATTACTCCACAAATAACTCAGCATCAAATACACTTTAAACAGGCGGTCCGACTAGGAGAGGACAGCAGTCGCGTCACTAGAGTCAACTGTGAGCCATGTTTTGTAAAGCCTCGAACCAAGCACAAAGCGAGTCAAATGCACTCCAGTCTGGAAGGCGAGAAGGACCAACGGCACAGAGTTGGGTCGTCAGTGACTTCATTTCACGCTGCCAAGTCAACTTTTGTCCACTTCGAGCCTTGCTCCACCCTACATTTGGTAGACCATACAAAACTGTACTCGGTGAGCGATGACCGCGCATATGTATTGCGTGCCCAAACTAACGCAACTTATTCAGTGTTATGTGTTGTTTTAAGAAACTACCTGACTATCACTACCTAGTACTCGCCTACGCAATTCATCGTTGCGGACACGCTGGTGCCACCCAACACCAGCAATGCTCCATAGTCAGTGATGATCAAAGTCTTGATGACGCCCTAGGTCTTCAAACCGAAGGGGTCAAGACTCATTAACATAGAGTAGAATGGATGTAAGTGCGGCCTTGTAAACACGGTCTTACAGACAGAGGGAAACTCCTTTTTCTCGCCAAAAATGTCGCAGCTAAAAGAAGGCGATTCCAGCTTTTGCAATGCGTGAATTGACTTCCGTTGCTATGTACCCATTGTTCCTGATGCAGCTGCCAAGGTAAGCGAATCGATCAACCACCTCGAGTTCCTCCTTAGCAAGGATCAAGGGGTCATCAAGTGGCTAGTGGTCCTGCAGCAACACTGCACTTTGTAGCTGCGAAGCACATACCAAATAATGGGATCACTCTAGAGGTTATTCAGAGTTGATTGCGCCGACCCAACACTGTTAAACAATAATACAAAATCCTCCGCATAATCAAGGTCAACTAGCCTGAATAGTGAGATTTCCTAAGGGACCACTCCATTGTGGAGTGCATGGCGAAAGTAAACAAAGATGACCAAAGTGGACAACTCTGATGAACGCCACTTGTTGTCCGAAAGATATGCGACAGGTCACTGTATACCCTGACGCGGCCTGTGGTGTTCGAGTATAGAGTACGTAAACTGTTCCCATATTTTATGGGCACACCTTTCCACGTAACTACTTTGAACAGAATGCATCGACCGACTGAGTTAACGCATTCATGAAGTTGAAGAACACAGCTACAGTCGGTCTGCGGTCTGCTTGGCACTGCTTTATCACATGCCGCAGAGAATATATGGCCTTTACAGTCTCGACCTGGGCGAATACCTGCTTGCTCTTCTCTAGCATGGGATTCCCGTCCCCAAGTGAGGCGAAGAAAGAGGATTAAGTCCAGTAACTTTGTCACTACTGGTGCTAACCCGGTGGTTAGCACAATCGTTTGGACCATCCTTCTTACCTACTGAAATTATGATTGATATATCTGTTAGTTGGAATAGTCTCTTCCTTCCAGACTTGTTCGAACAGAGAGGACAGTGTTTGGAGAGGACCTCAACAAAATCTTTAAACAGTGTGGGCGCGAGTGAGTTCGGGCCTGCAGCACGAAAAGTATTAAGCTGTATGCTATGGAGGCCTTCTGAGTCTGTTGTTTCTGGTTGGTCTTGGTCGCTGTACACGCACTCGGGCCTTGCTACAGCTCACACCCGGTATCAGACTGATATTCCGTCCCAAGATACCTCTACCATACGCGGCTCTACCATCGGTCGGTTCCGAAATCAAATATTTGGAAGACATGGGTGTTCTCGTAACTATATCCTATTCTGCCTGGACAGCAGAAATAGTTGTGGTCAGAAAGCTAAATGGAACCATTCGCATTTGTGCCAACTACTCCACCGGCCACATTGGAGCCACATTGCTAACTCTTAGCCGTCGTCACTTTCGAATCTTGGCACAGGCGATACATGGACCTGTTCACGGTTGATCTGGCTTGACAGGATGATGTGTGGAAGGTTCGGCTGCTTCTTCGCAAGCTGGGCACGGCCGAGCATCAACGTATTACCAACTTCGTTCTTCCGAAGATCCCCCTTTGTCAAGACGGTCTAAACGTTCACGCAAACGATAGCGAACTGTCCTCATTGTTTGACACCCTCTTCCAATGCCTGCGGTTGGCCAAACGTGATACCGACGACTTCACCACGTATGCGAGCATCATAAATCGCGAGTGCAAACGCTTTCGACTCGGATCCCTTATGGAAGACCAGGTAGTTTTCGAAAATTCCCAGAGTTGGCGGCTTGCTCCATCTAAATGACCCGCTGCGTCCACCAGGTATTGGGATCCTCCTTGAGGAGCTGTTTCAGTTCACGGTTGGTGGTCCTGCGCAGTGAATGGTACCCAAGGCCGGCAGAAACTGCATGACATATACACAGTCCCAGTACTCCGTGCAAATAACGCTGCACATCTTACTTGATACATTTTTGGATCAAAACGGAACAACCAGCGTCCGCGGAAGCTGGCCAGTCAACGTTTGGCTTCAACTGCCGTCGTCGCCGGAAGGAGCGCACCAGCTGGAAGACAAAAACCTGCGCGTGCATCCTTGTCGAAAACGATATCATATATCGTGAAGGGGAGTGTTGTGGAGACCTGATAGTTCCACAAAACGTCTAGTAGGACACTTGCCCGTCCTCCATGTTGCCAGTCATGTTGCTATGGCACACTTACGCGATACGTCACGGTGACAAGGTTAACAGTTGGCATGTATTCTTGCCAAACTTATCAGTTGGCAACTGTCCTCGTCTTAGTAAGTGACCTATCCCCATGTCCTCAACTGCGTGTTCTCCCTAATCATACCGTTTTCGGGTGGTAATTACGTCACTCTAATTACCACTTTCGTTCCAGTACGCGATGACAATCATGTCGTCCCCCCGAAGCCCGTGGTGTCAATACCCGGCTGTAAAATCCGTGCGGATTTTCACTGTGATCTTCGTCTACCTATGCATGATTTAGACAGTAAATGCTTCGCGGAAGACCATTGTCTTCCTCTCCGGGCCGCGAGTAGTCACGCGGAGTTTTTGTCAATCTCGCTACAGGGAGGAGGAACCGTTGACAGACAGTAAATCAGGCGCGTATATCCGAATTCGATCAACCACTTGTCCGCTCGAGGCAAAGTACAAAAGAGTCGAATCCTTGTTCCGACTAAGGGCGGCGTGTCAAAGCAATAATGTTACAACAGGCTGCGATTCCGATTCGAACCTCAGACTCCGATGGAGCCTTTAAATTAACCGTCCAACTCTCAGGCCGAAGAACCTGAACAGGAGGTGACAAACTCAGCTGCCCTTCAATGTGTGCTCCGCTAAACGAGCACTCCAATGCTAATTAATATTATCCCAAGCACCATCGTAAACTCTGACTGGTTCAATGAGACATTTTCCAAGGAAGACAAGTAACGACGATCGTTTGGAAGAGATTGCGATGATTTCCTATTTCTCCGGCCATCTTCATTTATTGAAGCCTACTGATCCGCCACGCTTCAGTGCCAACACGCAGGTTCCGCTTTGGTTCACACCTAACAGTCCGTCGGATTACATCGCACTTATAGTCAACCGGGAGTTCTCATCTGGATCCTAACAGGTTCACCGACCTCTCGGATATCCAGTGACTGGTGTGGTGACAATAGGTAGTGTCGCAAGTGGAGGCTCCCGCATCGTGCATGGCGGCCGAGATTCTATTCCACTGAAATTCGGTGTTCTAGGGGCGAAAGTGCGAAAATTCAGTATGCAGGAGATTCTGGTAGGTTTGCCTTAC